ACTAGAGACGGGGTTTCACCATCTTGGTCAGGCTAGACTGGAACTCCTGACCTCATGATAAACCAGCCTTGGCCTCCCAAAGTGCTGGAATTACAGGCGTGAGCCACTGCACCGAGCTCAGACACTTTAAAATTTTAAGGCAAGAAGTTGAAGCACACATAAAGAAAAACAATCTGTTTATTAAACTACAGAAATACATTATGTTTATCATTGTTAATGTATTGTGTGTAAGCAAAGTAGAGAAAGAAAATCAGAGACATTTTCAAATCCCTCTTTTAGGCCCCAAAGTTCTGAATTATTTTTCTGCAGCAGACTACAGACAGTGGGGTGACTGCTTTGTTTTCATGTATCCACTTCCAGTATATAAATTCAAGAAAACAAATCTCAGGAAATAGGTGAGCATAGTAAAACTAAACCTCATAGTAATAGTAATAACTGCAATTCAAATTCCCAGTGGAAAGGCTCGAAGTTAAGTGGTTTGCTTGTAGTTTTTGTGAGTCATAAAGTATATTGTTCCCTAGGGAGTGGTGAAAGAGAGTTTATCAATACTTATCAGAACCCAGAAGGATGCCATGCATTGCATGTGGATACGTAGAAGACAGCTGCTACAGACTGAAAAGTGGATTATGGCTTTATAGCTCAGGCAGTCTTACTATGTAGCAACTAGTGTGTTGATCACTGCTTTTATTCTATTTTATTTTATTTATTTTTTGAGACAGAGTTTCACTTTGTTGCCCAGGCTGGACTGCAGTGGCACTGTCTTAGCTCACTGCAGCCTCTGCCTCTGGGGTTCAAGCAATCCTCGTGCCTCAGCCTCCTGTGCAGCTGGGATTACAGGTGCCCACCACCATGCCCGGCTGATTTTGTTTGTATTTTAGTAGAGATAAGGTTTCACCATATTGCCCAGGCTGGTCTCAAACTCCTGAGCTGAAGCCATCTGCCCATCTTGGCCTCCCAAAGTGCTAGGATTATAGGTGTGAGCCACCGTTCCTGGCCCACTGCTTTAATTTTAAATGAATGTGTAGACAAAAGACTCCTGGACATCCCCCAGTTTATCTCATGCTAGAAAAGACAGCATGAAACACCAAGTTAGAATGTTATTAACTCTGAAAAATTCTCTTTAGGTCCCATGTGTAAAATATCATCTTAAAAAACAAATTGGCCAGTCGTGGTGGTTTACATCTGTAATCTCAGCACTTTGGGAGGCGAAGCCAGGAAGATCGCTTGAGACCAGCCTGGGAAACACAGCAAGACCCTGTCTCTACAGAAAAATTTAAAAAGTAGCTGGGCATGGTGGCATGCAGCTGTGGTCCTAGCTGCTTAGGAAGCTGAGGCAGCAGGATCACTTGAGTGCAGGAGGCTGAGGCTGCAGTGAGTCATCATTATGTCACTGTACTCCAGCCTGGCTGACAGAGCGAGACTCTGTCTCAAAAAAGAAGGAATCTAAAATCATGAACTTTCCTATGCTTACCTGTTAAAAGGTCAAGATGAGACTTCATTTAATTCCAGGGAGATATAAATGGAATTAATCTCAGTGATAAGTCCTGTAAAGTTCTGGTGTGATCAGATTAGACATTTAAAGCTTTTAGGGAGAGAAAAATGTAGTCAGTCTGAATCTCACTCATAATTGTGAAAATAAAATCCAAACTCAGTTTTTAAATCCATATAATTTCTATGCATTCTTCAAAGTCTCATTGTGAGATTATTACTTTTATTAATAATTCAGTGTTTTTTAGTAAATGAATCAAGTTTTGCTATCATACGAAGTTATTTACTATAGAACTTTATTATTCCCAGGCTATTTGGGACAGAAATTGTATATTAAAAGCTTGTTAGTGGTGAAAACACATGCCATTTGTCTAGGAATAGGTATTCCTCAGGTTTTCGATTATAAAAGTAGTACATAATAATTAGGAGCACATACACTTGAGCCAGAAAACCTGGCTTCAGAACTGTTTAGCCACTAACTAGATGTGTCACCTTGGATGTCCTAAGTGCCCACCTCTTGTTGTGAAGCTTACATGAGGTAATACTTGTAAAGTTCTTAATACCTGGCCCTTAGTATGTGATATATAATCCTTTGCTCTTATTATTTGCACTTCTCTTAAAAGGAAGAAAAATCACCTAAGGTCACACTAACCAAAGATGACATGTCTAATGAGAGCTAGGACAAGCTGAGCAAGATTTATCTCTCAGCATTATCCTTGACGATACTGCCACTGAAAATTCCAACTATGTTTTATAAAATGAATTTTCAGAGGTCTTGTCTTAAACATGCTTGATGCATAATGATTATCTATAGATATCATCTAGGAGTATTGCTAAAAAAATTGATATATGTTATTCCTAATACATCTCCCTTATATTTACTTACCACATATTTCAGAAATAAATAATATATGGCCAATACTTACAATTAGCAAGAGTTTAAGACATGTACTTCAAAAAAGAAGAAAAAGGAACAGAGGAGGGAATAAAAGAGCAATAAGTAAAGTGAGTTGATGATGAAACTACCTACCTCCAAGTTCCAACTGCATTTGGGTGTTTAAAACTGTAAAGTGTGTTAACTTAAACCACACAATTGTATTGCATCAGACACAGTCATTGATGATGACATGCCTGAACTGACTGTCTAAAACCAATATGTACTCCAGCCTGGGCGGCAGAGCGAGACTCCGTCTCAAAAAAAAAAAGACCAATATGTGACCAAGAATCCATTCCTTGGTAATATATGCATCTTTTCTTTGCAATTTTAAAGAGAAAAGGGGGACCTCATTATTAATATTTATTAAGGTTGATGTTGATAGGACATCCATATAAAACTACTTGGAAAGTTGTATGTAACCTCAAAGTAAAAAGGAATTGGCTTCTACTCTCTCTATGTCTGTCTTTATTTTAATGTTTTACTTTAAAACTTTTAGTAACTTGAACAAGATATGCCCCCAAAGAAGTTATTACATTTCTGCCAGCCTTTAACATTATCCTACAATTAATATTTAAAATGAAGCTAAATTAAATTCTTTCATCAAGAAGATTCAGAAATAGGGTTGAATTATTTGTATCATGATGATCATGGTTGGGTGGGGGGCTGATATGATAGTGATGGTGATACTAATATCTAACATTCATTTTCACTATGCTGAATATCTTTCAGTCATTTTACATAGTCCTCAAATTAACCATGGAAGGCAGAAATATTTATTAGCATTTACTGAAGAGAAAACTGAAATATATTAGTAATAAAATAACTTATCTAAATCAAACACTTCATTAATGCAGGACCAGGATTCAAATCCAGGATTAACTGACTACAGAGTCTATATGCTTAACCATTAGCTGATGTTACTACTTGGCATACCCTCTTAGGAGAGAGTCATATTTAAAACCACTAATGGATGGTGTGCAACTTTACTTAGAAAATAATTTTCTGGTCTATTTTTTCCTCTGCCAATTGTATTGATGTTAAGTGTTAGGATAATTAAAAGTGTAAAAGGCAAAAATATTGATTGACATATCTAACATTTAATTTTATAAAGTTCTTATCTGAGACAGGCTATCAAAGATTCCTGCACACGTGGACTCTTCTAGCCACTTAAACAGAAAGAATGTCAAATGTTTTCACATTTCTGCAGAATGATTTCTCTTGTTCTCAAATCAAAAAAAAGTTTTATTATCTGTCAGCATACAATGGAATATGATTAGACTCCAGTGGTGAAAGCCATGCAGAAATATGTTAATGCATTTTTCTATCATTCCCTAGACTTTGCCATTTTACAAATTTAAATATCAGTGCCCAGAAGGTTAATCAGTCATCTTGCATACAGAGTATTAAGTATTCACATTTAGTAATAATCTATCACATGTTCCCATGTTTCCATGTTGGAGCCTTTTTCAGTCTCTCCAGTATCCCAGCATGTTAGATCTTTAATCGTCACCATTAAGTTTTTGATCCCAACTTCCGTTATGCCATATTTTTCCTGTATAGTGAAAGGTAAGTATGTTTGTAACACTGCACTGTGTATTGGTCCTATTTCTTCTTTGGTCCTGTTTCATTGGTCTGGTTTGCTTTTTTGCCTGCTGTCACACCAGAGTTAGATATGCAACTACACTGTAAAAACCATGTAACACATATTTACTAATTGTACTCAACTTCATCTTATTTGTTAATTCTCATTTTCCATTTACCTTTCTTCATCTTTTTGTCTTTATTCACTTCATCAATATCTATAAGCCCTTCCAAGGTTTTTAGAAGGTGACAGTAATAAGTGTTAGACCTGGCCCTTGAAAATTATAGAAAAGAATCTAGAGAGCCATTGTCATTGCAGTATTTCCTAGATATCACTATGTTAGGCATTTTATTTCATCTATTATTCCCGTGTCTCCCCTGAGCATAGATATCTTCTTCACAGTAATATCAGTTGATGAAAATGCACAGAAAGTAAGAGGATATTATTAAGCAATTTCAAAAAGTACTGAGATCCCACCAAGTTGGTTCTCCTTGCATTTGTGTGTATGTTTGATTGTGATAAGTCATAATATACAGTTTTTTTAAGAGCAGAAGCCAGCAGTTGCCTAAGGTCAGTGTGTTAAGAGTGTTTTTAACAGAGGCCTAGGTTCCTTGTCTTTTCAGTACAATTTGAAGTAATAGTATCTTGGTAAATGGAACTTTTATGGCAGTTAAAAGCAAATGTATAAATTATCCTTTGGAATTGCTACATATTGAGAGAATGTGCCTGGATGATGATGAAATGCAGTTATTTCTACTTCTCATCATAAAAGAACAAACTTATTTTGTATTCAGTTCCTGAGAAGCTGAAATCAATCACATCTCCTTGAAAATACCTATTTTTGAAAAAAATTCAACTACTGGTCTTTATCTTCAGTAATGTTAGATTGCCATCTCTTCTCCCAAGGAGTGCTTATTAAAGTTTGTATTTTAACTACCTTGCTTTAATGAAAAGAAAATAGAAGGATCAGCCAATTTTTTGTTTCCATTGTAGTGTGGAGACAATCAATGATGGAAACTTCCACATCGTGGAACTACTCGCCCTGGATCAGAGTCTCTCTTTGTCTGTGGATGGTGGGAGCCCCAAAATCATCACCAACTTGTCAAAGCAGTCCACTCTGAATTTTGACTCTCCACTCTATGTAGGAGGTAAGCGGTTTTCCAAGTTCAGTTGGTCCTCAAACCCTGTGATTCTCATCATGGATGAATTCTGAAGTTTATTAATGCCTAGTGCATCAGTATTTGTCATTGACCAATAGTGATCAAAAAGATGGATGGCAAAGACAGAACAGAAAGATCTCTAGGTGGGTATTCAGGGATCATTTTATAATCCCATCTCTGGTTCTAAGTAAATGTGTCATCTGGGTAGAGAAGGACATTAATTAATATTTCTTTTGTATCAGTCACATGCTGGGTGATTTATACATTATATAATTTAATCTTATATTTGATCTGGTCTATGGAAAAGGAAAGTTGGTTAGAGGTTAAATCATACAATCAAGAAATGATAAAACAAGCTCAATGCAAACTGGGGAGCAGATGAGCCCACCCCAGCTCCCTTAAGGAGGCAAACCCTATCAGCTCAGTCAAATGTTGCCATGCTGGAGCTTCTAGTTGCTAATTTGTGTGAATGATAGGGTAAGTATCACTGTAATCCAGTGACTGAATGAATGAATGAACAAATTAAATGTACAAATTGTATTGGAATAACAAGAAATAGTTCTGTTCCACCAAGACCTTAAGGTGAATAAACAAGAGAAAGGGTTGGAAAGGTAGATTAGGACTTGAAATCGTAGAGTGAAGACCCTGGGCTTTATTTTTAAGTGTAAAGAAGGCAGATCAGTGAATAAATGAGGGACAGAAATATAAGCAAAGTTCTGTAGGAGCCCATCGGAGAGGACCTGCAGAGGAGGGAGGTCCCAATCTTGCCTCTATTTGGAGGAACAAAAGTAAACTGGAGGCATATAATTTCAAAATTCTGGTAAAGGAGCAAGAAAGCGGTTAATGCTGAATTGAGAAGCATTGGATTAAATTACGTTGAATTTATTTGAATTGACTGATAAAACTAACTTACAGATGAATAAGTAAAAGCTTTGAACAGGTTAGTGTACAATTTCATCACCATGACAGATATTTTCATGAGTTTCACATCGTTTTCTGAAAAATAATAACCTATGCTACACCATTATCTCAACCACTCAGAGCCTTCTTTTTAGTGCCTCTTAGTCTAGGGCATTTCTGTTTTAATAATTTCAGTAGTAGACAATCTTAACACTTTGACAGAGTTGGATTGTTTTAGAAACAGTTCGAAGTCTTTGGTTCAATTCTGTAAACATTTATTGAGTACTTCACCACATACTAGGAACGAAGTAAATGGATACATAAAGGATACAAAGTTGAAGAAGCAAAGTCCATTCTACTCCCTAAAAAGTCAGGAATGCAGAGGCATCTTCAAGTAACTATCATGCATTATCAATAAAGTATTGCATAGTGAGTCTACTCAGCCAGATGACTGGTCTAATTGCTTCACAGGGGAGAGTCTCATTACAAAGCAAGTCATCCATTCTTGCCAGCATTCCAGTTAACAGGTTGCTTTTAGGTGGGTGAAGCCAAGTCACAAGTGTACCTTTGATTTGAGACAAAATAAATTATATTTATTGAGTCCATGCTATGTGCCCAGCACAGTGCTCGTTTTATAGCCTTAATCTGCAGAGACCTTAGGAATTAGATATGATTTTCTCTGTTTTGTATTCCTTGAAGAGCAATCTCAAGGATTTTATATAACTTGGCCAAGTTCACAGAGCTATTATGTAGTAGACACCTCATTTAAGTCCAGGTCTGCCTGACTCCAGAGCCACCTGCATTGCCATTCACTTCTTTTTTTTTTTTTTTTTTTTTTTTTTGAGACGGAGTCTCGCTCTGTCGCCCAGGCTGGAGTGCAGTGGCCAGATCTCAGCTCACTGCAAGCTCCGCCTCCCGGGTTTACGCCATTCTCCTGCCTCAGCCTCCGGAGTAGCTGGGACTACAGGCGCCCGCCACATCGCCCGGCTAGTTTTTTGTATTTTTAGTAGAGACGGGGTTTCACCGTGTTAGCCAGGATGGTCTCGATCTCCTGACCTCGTGATCCTCCCGTCTCGGCCTCCCACAGTGCTGGGATTGCCATTCACTTCTTAACATAAAGCAGAAAGGGAGCAAACCTAAGTGTTGTGGCCTTTTGTTGTTTATTTATGGATTTTTCATTCACTTGATTTTATTATGCTTTCATTAGAATCCACTTCATTAAATCTTTTGAAGCCCTTTTAGAATGTAGTACAAAACAAATTTTAAAAATACAGGGGGCTGGGCATGGTGGCTCACACCCATAATCTCAACACTTTGGGAGGCTGAGGGGGGAGGATCATGTGAGCCTGGGAGGCTGAGACTGCAGTGAGCCATGACTGCACCATTGCAGTACAGCCTGGGAAACAGAGCCAGACACTATCTCAAGAAAAAAAAGAAAATACAGGATGAGACTGTTTAAGTCAGAACATTCCTCCTCCCCCAGTCCCCAGCCCAGAAAAAAAAAAAAAAAAAAAAAAAAGAGGAAAAAATGTTTTAAACTCCAAAATGAAAAGTGTTTATCCTTCTGAAGGTCGAGGGCCTGGAAGAATTCAAACAGCACCTCTGTGCACCCAGGCCTCGAGGAAACCACTTTCATCCCGGTCCCACTGCCAGAGATCACCATGGGCCCACTTTCTCCCCGCTTAGAGTGCAGTCTCAAGGGTGACTCAGATTTTCAAAGCACAAGGAACCTGTAAGACCACAGCCTTGAATGCTGTATGGCAAAGGCATGAGAAGCAGAGGGAGAAAAGGAGAGCGAGGTAACTAGATTCCCTTTCAAAGTGGTGACTACAGCCGGGCATGGTGGCTTACACCCATAATCCCAGCACCTTGGGGCCGAGGCGGGCGGATCACGAGGTCAGGAGATCGAGACCCCTGGTTAACATGGCGAAACCTTGTCTCTACTAAAAATACAAAAAATTAGCCAGGCGTGGTGGCGGGCGCCTGTAGTCCCAGCTACTCGGGAGGCTGAGGCAGGAGAATGCCATGAACCCGGTAGATGGAGCTTGCAGTAAGCTGAGATCGCGCCACTGCACTCCAGCCTGGGCTACAATGGGAGACTCCATCTCAAAAATATATATATATATACACACACACACACACACACACATATATATGTAGACTACAATGAGATACCATCTCACACCAGTGAGAATGGCTATTACTAAAAAGTCAAAAAATAACAACTGCTGGCAAGGTTGTGGAGAAAAAGGAACACTTATACCACTGTTGGTGGAAATGTAAATTAATTCAGCCATTGTGGAAAACAGTGTAGCGATTCCTCAAAGGCCTAAAAATAGAGCTACCATTCAACCCAGCAATCCCACGACAGAGCATATAACCAAAGGGAATCTCTATCATTCTATCATAAAGACACAAGCATGCATATGTTCATTGCAGCACTATTCACAATGGTAAAGACATAGAAGCAACCTAAATGCCCATCAATTCTAGACTGGATAAAGAAAATGTGGTATATATACACCATGAAATACCATTCAGCCACAAAAAAGAATTGAGCTGATGCCCTTGGCAGGAACATGGATGGAGCTGGAGACCATTATCGATAACAAACTAACACAGGAACAGAAAAACACATACCGCATGTTCTCACTTATAAGTGGGAGCCAAATGATGAGAACACATGGACACAGAGAGGGGAGCAACACACACTGGGGCCTATCAGAGGGCGGAGGGGTGGGAGGAGGGAGAGGATCAGGAAAAATCACTAATGGACATTAAGCTTAATTCCTGGGTGCTGAAATAGTCGGTACAACAAACCCCTCGTGACATGGGTTTACCCGGTTTGTTATACGGTAACACATATACACTGTTGGTGGGAGTGTAACCCTCATATACCCCTGAACTTAAGATAAAAGTTAAAAAAAAAAAAACAAAAAACAGGGGTGCTGCCCAAGGAGGATTGCCTGAAGGTGTTGCCTCAGCATCTGGGGAGAGGCAGCCCCTTGGTGAGTATGTGGAGAGGCAGCTTCATCTACCCTTGGGTTATCAACTACCCAGGATATGTGCTTTACGCGACACAATTTTTTTTTTTTTCCCTGAGGCAGAGTTTTGCTCTTGTTGCCCAGGCTAGAGTGCAATGGCTCAATTTTGGCTCACTGCAGCCTCCACCTCCTGAGTTCAAGTGATTCTCCTGCCTCAGCCTCCCGAGTAGCTGGGATTACAGGCGCCTGCCACCACACCCAGCTAATTTTTAAAATATTTTTAGTAGAGACAGGGTTTCATCATATTGGGCAGGCTGGTCTCAAACTCCTAACATCATGTGATCCACCCACCTCGGCCTCCCAAAGTGCTGGGATTACATGAATGAGCCACTGCGCTCGGCCGACACAAAATAATTTAATTTTCATGGTTTTTTTTTTTTTTTTTGGTCTATAGTCCAACTGAACCCTTATTACCTAATGGGGAAAAAAAAATCAAGAAATAAGCCGCATGCATGGAAATCCATGTATATGTGACATATGCCCTCCTTGTCCTGCCACGGGACAGAGGACCTAGGCTTGATTCTTGGTCTCTTTATTGCCATTTTGAGGCCTGTAGAAATAAGGCTAAAAGCTGTTTGCTCAGTTTTCTGTTGGTTGATTGACTGATTGATTGAATGACTTCCAACTAGGTCCATGGCATAGAGGAAAGGCTTAAAAAAATTCATGGATCTGGCTGGGCGTGGTGGTTCATGCCTGTAATCCCACCACTTTGGGAGGCCGAGGCGGGTGGATCACCTGAGGTCGCGAGTTTGAGACCAGCCTGACCAATATGGAGAAATCCTATCTCTACTAGAATTACAAAATTAGCTGGGCATGGTGGCGCATGCCTGTAATCCCAGCTTCTCGGGAGACTGAGGCAGGAGAATCACTTGAACCCAGGAGGCAAGGGTTGCGGTGAGCCAAGATTGTGTCATTGCCCTCCAGCCTGGGCAACAAGAGTGAAACTCCATCTCAAAAAAAAAAAAATTCATGGATCTACTTCTGTTTGTCAATGAAGCCCTAGTTTCCTAGCTAGCATGTGAAAAGATTGACTCAGAATAATTCTTGATTTTATGATAGCCTATTGAAAGTCAAATATATGTATGATGTCTAAACATTTTCATTTACAGATTACTTTAGTCAAAGCTGGGCTTTTTCTAATTGTTAACTTTGGAACAAAAAGGAACAGATTTACTAATTGTTCTCTGTGCTGTGGAACTTTGCCAATCTATATTTATTCTTGACGTGCACATATGCGTGTTGGGCCTATATCAAAATGAGCTATTAAAAATAGTTTTGGAAGAAGTTCATTTTTAACCACTGAATAAAGGACCATAAATGTGTGGTCATTAAAGTCCTTATGATGGATGGATGTGGTTAAATTAGAAAAACTTACCCCAGGGCAAGGAATTTTCTGTCACCAGTCCTCTCCTGGAAATGGTAAGTTTCATCCTTTTGACCGTGCTCTAGAAAGCAACCCACAGCGAAAGGGACATGACTAGAGACCTGTACTCACAGAACTTCACAGCCAAGAGACTTCATTCAGTACCTGCCAGAGTGTAACCATGGACTACCTGACTCACCTGAGCTGCGTGTAAATATTTAGATTTGTGCACCTCTCCTGTTCCAACAGCATCAGAACCTCAAAAAGGGGAGAGAGTGGAGCCTGCAAAACTGCCTTTGAGCATGCACTGCTGTTGGTTCTTACATATGACAAACTTAGGACAGCTGCTGTGGTCCATATGCTCATGGTGTATAGATGACAATACTAAGCCCCAGAGAGAAGAAACAACTGCTGCAAGTACACACAGAACCAGAAATCCTTACCCTCTACCCTAGTGGTTTCATACAGCTAGCTCTCTGACTTTGGTGGCTGCTTTGAATACCAATGGATGAGTCATTTCCTATGAATGGGAAAGGAGAAGGTGGCATAAGTTCGGACCCACAGTGTGCTACAGTTCTTGGTCTTTATAACCAACAAACCCCCTAAAGAGTGAGAAACTGGGTCTTCCTCAGCCTAGAACTTCCAGCCAGTAGTCCAGAGTTTAGGCACAGCTAAAGCATAACTGGGGGTTATGGGGAGGTGGTAGTGGTGTCGCCAGCACTCTGAAAGCCTCCAACACCCTCCCCGCTTCCCTGGATGGGTGCCTCCTACAGGATGCCTTCCAGGGACTAAGGGTCTGGCTTAGGCCATGGAAAGATTCTTCTGTTTTGCCAAAATGAGTGTTACCAGATGACTGTCACTAATGAAATGTATATATACAAAGATTACAAATACTCTGCTTTTGAAGGGATTTCTTTTTTATTTCTGATTTCTTGGACTATGAAGTCTTCACTCTCAATTAGCAAGAAAGAAAAAATGATGTGAATGAGGTGCTGTCCTGAAAAGAATCAGGAGTGAGTTTATGGCATTGACATCGTTGACCAAGCTCAGGGACGCTGCCAGGAGCGAGCTGGATTTGTTGCCAACTTAGAATGTGGCAGGGCTGGGGTGAATGGTCACTGTGAACCCCAGTTCTCAGCCCCTGAGACCTGGTGGACCTACCCCTGATTCCAGAGATAGAGGAGGTTCTTCTCATCAGCCTAACTCTAACCTGAACTCGCTGGGTCACCTTGAGCATGTCGCCAGGGCTTTCTGAGCCCTAGCCCCTTGTCTTTAAGATAAGGGATAGAATTAGAGCACTACAAACTGAGCTTTATGGAGCTCCAGACTTCCAGGAGTGTGTGCCTGGAGGTGGGGGGTGGAGGACAAACGGAGAGGGAGCATTCCCTTCCCCCAATCTTGCCTTTAAGGACAGTAGCTCTGCCTCTAGGTTTTATACATTTGTGTACATGTAAAGTTTTCTTTGAAGCAAATTTCAAAAGTTAAAGATTAACCACCAGTGAACTAGGTATTTTATTCTAGTTGTGGATTAGAATTCCCTGGAGCGTCTTCCAATACAGAACAAAACAAAAACACACATCTCTTCTCCACTTCACTTCCCTACCACCCTGTCCAAATATCCTGCCGTAATAGGTTGGCAGTGAGGTCCTAAGCATCAGTATTTCTGGGTAGCAAATTGCTGAGAAATCCCCAGAGAGCCTGACCTCTGACCCGGTGTTCCTCCCCAGGCATGCCAGGGAAGAGCAACGTGGCATCTCTGCGCCAGGCCCCTGGGCAGAACGGAACCAGCTTCCACGGCTGCATCCGGAACCTTTACATCAACAGTGAGCTGCAGGACTTCCAGAAGGTGCCAATGCAAACAGGCATTTTGCCTGGCTGTGAGCCATGCCACAAGAAGGTGTGTGCCCATGGCACATGCCAGCCCAGCAGCCAGGCAGGCTTCACCTGCGAGTGCCAGGAAGGATGGATGGGGCCCCTCTGTGACCAACGGACCAATGACCCTTGCCTTGGAAATAAGTAAGTTCCTGCTGCTTGGTAGTTGAGCACACACCTGAAAGCCTCAAAGCCAAACCCAAGGAAGGAAGGAAGGAAAGAAGGAGGGGAGGGGAGAGGAGAGGAGGGGAGGGGAGAGGAAGGGAGGGGAGGGGAGGGGAGGGGAGGAAAAGGAAGGGGAGGGAAGGTTCATTAGGCATTAGCACTCTGTCCCTCATATTTTCTCAGTCATCCTCCATTCTTACATCACCTCCGTTCATTCTTACCTCCTCTGCTGAATGCCTTCCCACTCCTGGTTCCTCCTCCCTGCAGATGCGTACATGGCACCTGCTTGCCCATCAATGCATTCTCCTACAGCTGTAAGTGCTTGGAGGGCCATGGAGGCGTCCTCTGTGATGAAGAGGAGGATCTGTTTAACCCGTGCCAGGCGATCAAGTGCAAGCATGGGAAGTGCAGGCTTTCAGGCCTGGGGCAGCCCTACTGTGAATGCAGCAGCGGGTACACGGGGGACACCTGTGATCGAGGTAAGCCAGCCCCACTGGGTACCTCGCTCATGGCAAAGCAAGAGGGGCACCACGTCTTTGAAAAGAGAGAGAGAAAAGGTGAAAAAAAACCAAAACAGGAGCAACAGAGAGGGGAGAGATAGGAGAGAATCCCAGGTCTTCGCACTACTTGCAGCTGCCGCTATTGATTTATTTTCAAGTATCATGAAGGCACCAGATGTGAAATGGCCTTAAACCTCCACCACAAGATTGTACGCAGCCTTCAGATGCTTCTCACAAGTTGATTTGCTGTAAAAGAAATACTCCTTTTTACCTGAAGCACATTTACTTTACTCCTGTCTTGCCTTTACCGGCTGTTCTCATCCATATATATTATTAATACATCTTCTGGCACACAGAAGATGGTCCTCCTAATTCTGCTCTAGTTTTAGTACAAAATGACCTTTGACCTTAGCATCGACTGATTTATCACAGCACATCATGTGGGTGAGAGGAACGGAAACAGGCTGACTTCTTAGTTCACCTTCCTCCTCCTCCTTTGTCTGCGTGACCAGAGCTCGCCTGGTCTCCAGCTGGCACGGATTTTGTTTTGTGTGTCAGAGGGACGAGACAAGAAGAACGTGCCCGTGGAAGCTTTTAGCAGATGTCTCTTTTTTGAACTACGTACTTCATACTGGGGTAATTTATGAAGTTAGTGGAATGTTACTTGTATTAAGTAACAGATTGGATAATATTAAACTCCAGGTCTAATAAATAAAATTGCATACTCTCTGAAACTGCTCCCTGTGGTAAACAAAACCAGCTGTTAGTAGTGTAAAAACAGAAAATGTGTATTTTTTTTTCCTTTTTTGCAATGAAAGAAAAGATTTAGGAATCCAATTTTCTTGTCACTGCAATAGCATTGTATTTATACTCTACATATATAGCTTTCACTTGGCTGAAAAATAAAGACCAAAAAGAAGTATTTTTCAAAGAATAGGAAGCCATGCCACCAGCTAATAATATGTAAAGCAGGTTACAAAGGGGAAGCAAAGGCTTCTGAATGAAGCTGTGGATTCACAGTCACTCTGCATGACTTACAGTGACTGTTCTTAAAATGCTTGTGCTTTTTGTTCTTTTCCAGAAATCTCTTGTCGAGGGGAACGGATAAGAGATTATTACCAAAAGCAGCAGGGCTATGCTGCTTGCCAGACAACCAAGAAGGTATCCCGATTAGAGTGCAGAGGTGGGTGTGCAGGAGGGCAGTGCTGTGGACCTCTGAGAAGCAAGCGGCGGAAATACTCTTTCGAATGCACTGACGGGTCCTCCTTTGTGGACGAGGTTGAGAAGGTGGTGAAGTGTGGCTGTACGAGGTGTGCGTCCTAAGCACGCTCCCGGGCAGCTCTGTCTCTGGAAAAGGTTGTGTACTTCTTGACCGTGTTGGACTAATTAATGCTTCATAGTGGAAATATTTGAAATATATTGTAAAATACAGAACAGACTTATTTTTATTATGAGAATAAAGACTTTTTTTCTGCATTTGGAAAAAAAAAAAAAAGAAATGCTTGAACTAAAGCTTCCCCTATGCTGGAGAAGTATGAAGAAAGATATACCTGGAGGCATTAGAACAGCGATGGGAACCATTGCAACTCGGGTCCATCTTTGTAACATGCTGAAGACAAGCAGAAGCGCACGCACGAGGGGCAGAGGAGCTACTGTGCACTGCTGTGAAATTGCCCAGAGCATAAAACCTGCGTACCCTCCTTCACATCAACCAAGTTCACTAGGACATACCAAGCACATGCGTGTGAATGAGGATGCAAGGCAAGAGAATGGAACTCCAGAATTCACAGATAGAACAGATGGATAAGAAATATTTCGTGCAAAATATAAAGTGTCCTGAGGATCTGGGTTCCATTCACAAGAGGAAATGAAAGTGATAAAATAAATTTTATCTTCCTTTTAAATGTCAGCATGTCAGCAGAAGCAGCACACAAAAGTCTTTACCATTTTCCAGTATTAATTTTTTGTAATATAAATGATAAAGGAGATGATAAAGAACCAATAGATTATTGATAAATAAATTAGTAATAATATGATTTTTTGTTTCTATGAGTTCTAAACAGCCCTATACAGTATTCAGTTTCCATGAGAAATATTTATTGTATCAAAGTACATTGTACTTAACATTTTAGGCCATCCTTTTACTGTTCCTTGATGCTTTAATATATATTAATTTATAATTATCCTGATATTTTTGTACATTTTTCAAACTTAAAAAAATCAGGATTTTTTTTTTTTTTTTTTTTTTTTTTTTTTTTGGCAATAGTACTAACATAGGGTTTTATCTTGGGATAAATATGTGTTGGTCTGTTTGTTGACCTTGACATCTGCTCACTGATGTCACTGACCTACTGGCCTCATTCAGGACACCTGCAGAGAGTATGCAAAGTCCAAGAGAGGAAAACACAAATCTGTATGTGAGATGGTCATTGTACAGAAAGAAGTGGCCCCTCTGCAACATGTCCTCACAGAAAAGAAATGGTGTGTAGCAATCAACACTAGAAAGTAGACCTTTTGCAAATTAATATGTCCTTGACCTTTTTTGCCCTTTTCTGGGGGTGGGGTGGGGATAAAAAGACTGTCATGTCAAGAACTGTGATATTTTTTTTCCCCCAAACAATAAAACTCCTTTATTATCTTAATGTTCCCATGTTAACATGTTTGCTGCTAAATTACCATGTAGAATTGATAATGATTTATAGTGGACTGTGCTCTTCCCTCATTAAAATCCCAGGGTGCCCTGTAAAGATGCAGATGTTTCTTCCTGAAAACTTCTTTTTTTTACAAAGAAAATTAGATGTACATGTATAATTCAGTGTGCTTTGTCTTTCTCCAGACTAATATCAGTTACACTGCTGATGTTTGTAAATTAAACAGATATTTACTTCATTAACAGCTTGGTGGTTTTCTTAGAAATTGCACAATAGGCCACTCCTTAAGAATTTATTAATCAAAATGATACAGAAAGAATAAGGAAGAAAACCTATGCCTTTTTGTTGCCAAAAATTGGTGTGAGATTCACATGTTGTTATTTCTGGGGACTGATACTGGAATGGCCACATAAGAGAGATGGATATAAAAATACACAATTTGCTGAAAAAAAGATATTCTTTTTTTTTTTTTTTTTTAAATTGTAAGATGAAGTCTGACTAAGATGAAATGTTTTTGTTTTTGTTCTTCTTTGGTTCTCCCACCCCAATAGAACCAGGGAGAAAACAATAAAAGCCACTCTTAGGCCAGGGTTGGTAACATCAAGGTGTACTATCCAGGACAGAGAAACAACATCGTCTAGGAGGAATAATCCTCATCAACCATGATAAGATGCCTTTGTTTCCATATAAACAAACAAACAAAAAAAACAACCATGCATACACACATGCACATACACACACACTCGGTCTCTCTCACAGACACAGACATCTCAGCATTTATTCATTCTTGTTTAAAATGTCTAAATTTTAATTATAGAAACAATTATATAGCTACTCTAAATTATTTAGTCCCATTGATTGCTTCTTTTTTCCAAGGGGTTTAAATCATTCATTAAACGAAGAAACATCTGTGAAGATGACACGATTTAGATTTGTGTTTATAGACATGTATTATCCAGACAGCCACTGTTTGTTGAGTGCTACTTATACGCCAGGTACTATGCTCAGGGTTTTCTATGAACTATGTCATTCATCTATATAAAACCATGAGATTATTGTGCTTCCTGCTTTACACATGCATACAGGGCTCATAAACAGAGGAGCTGGATTCCACCTCAGTCAGGTATTCCAGACCACATTGTCTGTAATTAAGGCAACAGCTTAGTAACTGCTACCTCTACTTGGGGACTTTCAAGCCTTGGAGACTTATTCCACAGCCCAATAATTTTCCCTTCTTGATTATGTAGGTTTACATAATCCAGACTAGAGACTTTACATTTGATGTTTCATTTTTTAAGGAAAACAAAAGTGAAACCTTCATAGCTTCCAGACTGTGTTCTTTCTCCTTCCTGCTTATTAAGACAAAAAATAAAATGATGGCTGTCTGGGATATGAGCTGAGTTAGTAAGTTTCTTAGGGGATTGTTTGCCTTGAGATGTGACTACCTCCTGTCCATGCACCCTTTTAAAAAAAATCCAATAGTCAAATAATGACTAACAAACAAGATAAATTTAGGGTAATTATTAATATTATAAAAGGTTCCTTACTTAGAAGGTCTTGCCAATAGGATTACTTTAAATAGGAAACTATTCTAGAGCATATCCAACAGAACTCTATGCATTAAAAAAAAAAAAAAAAAAAATTCATGCATTTTAGAATCAAAGCTACTACATGGAATAATGTGCATTGTAATCCGAAATGATAAAGTAGCTAAACATCTCTAATGTGTTTAATTTAAATTCTCACATGAATGAGGCACCATCAGGAAATGCCATGGGGATCTGACATGTTTGATTTAAGATGTGTTCATTGAATAATAACCATCTCAATCATCTTTGGAATTTGTCTTCACTACAGATTTTCTGAAATTATTTCTAAGCAATATAGATGAACCCCTATTTTAAAATTACTCTGAGAGTTTTCTTTTTTTGGGTGATTTGCTTCGTCAGCAGCAATTCTTTCTGGAGAAATGATCAAAAAACTGTTGAAATTGATTCAGTCCTTAAAGACCTCAAGCTTTATGGTGTCATCTACCTCATGGAGTGACCATTATTTCAAAAATAGTGCTTGTAAGAAAGGAAGCTATACAAGGATAGGAAGCTTCATACAAAGTTTTACATTAAATATATAAAGCTGTATAAAATACATAAGTTATCTTCATTTTTATTCCTGTGTTTTCAAAAATCAGTTAACAACACATCTATATTTCCTACCTCCTCTCATGCGCAAGAGGCTACAGTAAATTTTTGATACACAGTTTCACATGAAACAGACATCACTTCAGCCATTTTAGAGCTTACACTCTATGCAGCTGGGGTTGAAGTTGAAGTAGGTAATAGAGATTATACAAATGGTCACACTAATACATAATTCCAGATTGTGATAAGCATCTGAAGTAAGTTATGTGATATTAGAAGAAAGAATGACAGAAGAATCGAATCAAACAAGTATAAGGAGGTTCAGGAATGCCTCTGTGAGGAAGTGACATTTAAACCGAGTCATGAAGGACCAAACAGAGTCTAGGATGCAGGCAGATGGAAGCTTGTGTGGGAATAGGGATGGGAGTTCATGCCGAGAGAGCAGCCCGTGTCTAGGCCAGAGGAGGAAAACAACTCGTGGTCAAGGAAACAAAAGAATTTAGTGTGCCTAGCGTGAGGTATATAATTGCTTTTCACACAACAGTGACCATTTTCAGGATTTCTTAATTCACCATATAGCCCATATTTTTCTTCTGAGCATCTGTTTGCAGTGAGGTCTCAAAACATCAACAAGAAGGGATTTCCATTTTAAAATAGCAGCTATTTGGCTGTGCCTAATGTAGCTCCTGTAAACTTCCAAATGAAATATCTCTGAGGATATAGAAAATATACTCGAAGTAGCAGTGAAAATTAAGAATAGTAGTGAATATTCATGAGCTGACGGCTGATAAAACTGGATTGAAAAGAAAAGCAACCACTGGCCAATTCATGCTTCGAATCTCATGTGCATTTTTCCTGCCCTGTTTATACCAAGATCAGAGACTTGGGAAATGAGTCAACTGGAAACATAGCAGAAAATGCCTGTGCATTAGGTGTAAATTAAAATCTGAGTTTTAGTTACATCATGGTGACTACACCGGGCTGGGAAACCCCAACCTTCTGCCCTCCAACCCACCCTCTGCTCTGTTGAATGAAAACAATGTATTCCTCTAGATTATTTGAAAATATATCTCTAACTCCCACTGTAGGATAAAATCCAAACTCTTTAGTTCGGTATTCCAGATTCTTCACAAAGTGTCTTCTCAAATTGGCCTTCGGTATGTGCTCTTAGATTAACAAATGCTAGGGAGGGATATTGTAAAGCAAATTCTGGGCTGGAATGGCCACCTTGTGGATATGAGATTCATCCACATATGGATGGTAGTTGAAGCTAAGAAAATGGGTAAGCTAAGTTAGAAACACTACAGAATGAATTTAACCAGAAAACTAACCCCACTTTAGATGATACATGTCTGGAATGAAGTAGTCCCAGAATAGAGAGAAAGAAAGAGGAAGTTTTAATAAAGCAATGAGGTAGTTACTGGCTAGTAGTGGGTAAGGAATAATAGACTGTTCTCTTAATAAGTCTGATAACAAAAGAAGAGAGGATGGCAGCTGGAAAAGTTGATGAGGTCACAGGGTTGTCATTCAATGAATCAATAATTATTGGTTTATCACCTACAGTAACAGCTTGTGAAGAAGTGGGGCAAACACTTGAGGGGATCATCCTGAGATCCAAGCTGGAAGAGCAAGACCAACCTAAGTCATCCCTTACATGAGCTTGTTGATCAGTGGATATAAAAAGCAGAAGCCAGATATAGTGAGATTGAGGAAACAAGATGCCTGAGAGTAAGAAGTCACAAAATCACCCAGAGTGAAGAGAGCAAAGTATATGCAAGAATTCTTTACCAAATAGAGTTCTCCATTGCCTTCCTCCTCCTCCCCTCACAAAGGCGATACAGCATTTCAAAGGCTTTGTCTAGAGCTATAAAATTCAGCTGAGCAGAGGAATCGCCATCGGCATTGGGAATTAGCTTTGTCATTGTGTCAATAAGTGGCTAGCTGAATTTAGATTCAAAAGAGAATCAAAAATTAAAAAGCACACACAAGAACACAGGGAGTGTGAGAAACAGCCACAGAGACCATTGTCTAGACAATCTGCTATCATTAATCTTACTCTCCCTTCTTGAAGTGGCTAGAATTATTTTCTATTGTTTTTTTCACATAGATGGTGGCAGAGAGATTAAGTGACTTGCCCAAGGTCACACAATCCAGGTCTCCTGACTCCAACCATAATGCAATATTGATTTCACTGGAATTGAAAGGCAAACTCTATCAACAGCCCCGTGAGATAATGCTGGAGGAGTATTTCTCAAGGAGAGTTATTTTGGTTTTAAAAAATGCCTATGAATAGCACTCACTTTCCCAATAAAAATGCATTTTTAAAATATTTCCCACTTGGTAAAGGAAAATAAATAGTGCTTTTTACTGGAATTTGCTTCCAAAAAAATGAAAGTGAAGGGATGGAATGTACATGGTTGCTTCAGTATTTTTGGTCATTGTTCCGGTCAGATATGCCTTGATTGAGTGGGCTGACCTGGAGCAATTGAATTCCGTTGCTAAGATAGTCACAAGGACAGGACCAAACATACCCTCGTCCAGTTATATCAGCTGCAAAGTCATATCCTTGGACTCAATCCAGCTCACAGGGTATTCTTTGTAAGGAAAAAAGAGACAAAGTTTAAAAAAAAAAAAAAAAAACTATAGAGGAATTTCTATTTGAATGAGTGTGTTTGATAATGTCCCTTAACCATAATCTCAGAGGCCTGTGTTATCTCAGAAAGGAGAAAGATGAACATCTTTGAATTGCCTAATCTTGCACTTGCTTGATCCTGCTTGGTCTCTGCTCACAATATTACCATTCAATTACCTCCACCACTTTCAATTACATCTTACTTTCAATTACATCTCTACATTGATTTTTTCTTCCTATTATTTCTGTGTTAGCCACAATTCTCCTCTGATGTTTGTCAACTCCTTTTCGGAGTTCTGAATGAGCAGGAACACATTTCTGAGTGGCACGCACAATACCCTGTTTGATTGGGAAATAAATCACACATCATTTGGCAAAAAAGCACCTGCTGGTCTAGCAATCATTATATTTCTGATTCCTCATTTAAACTTGTTTTCCTTTTTTCCCTTTCCTTGTAAATGCTTCCATATTT